AAAATCCAAATTCTTACACTGATTCCTAATTCTTGGTCAGTACGGAAGGCTTCAAACATATTTCAAGTACCTGTTTGCATGGTCAGGAAGGCAAGAGAAATAAAAGAAGAGAAAGGGATTCTTGGTATGCCAGACAAAGTGACTGGCAAGAAAATTAAAGAGGTGTTTTTAAATGCTGTTCAATCTTTTTATTGCAGCGATGAAAACAGCCGACAACTTCCAGGAAAGAAAGATTTTGTGAGCCTTGGACAAAAAAGACATATGCAAAAGCGACTTCTTTTATGCAACATAAAAGAGCTATATTCCTTGTTCAAGGCTGATAATCCTGCTTTCTGTATTGGGTTTTCCAAGTTTGCAAGCTTAAGACCAAAATGGTGCATCCCAGTTGGTCCCAAGGGGACACATTCTGTGTGTGTCTGCACTTCTCATCAGAATCTGAAGCTTCTTCTTGATGCTGCAAATTTAGGACACCAGTACCATGACCTGATTGATATGGTAGTCTGTGACAGTACTTCCAGAGGATGCATGATTCACAGATGTGCACGATGTCCTGGAATTGAAAATGTTGAAGATTGCTTACGCAATATCTTCACAGAATCAACAACATTTGGAGAAGGCAAGGAGGTTGAAGATGAAGATGATTTTACTGAAGTCACTTTTCATCAGTGGAGATCTTTGGACAGAGCTGAACTGGTTTCCCAAACTCTCCCAGTTCCTGATTTTATTGATAAGTTGTGTTGCCAGCTAGATCAAATAACCAGCCATTCGTTTATTGCAAAGTCGCAAGCTTCTTATTTGAAGAGGTTAGAAGAAACTTCGAATAAGGACGAAGTTATTGTTTTACTGGACTTTGCAGAAAACTTTAAATTTGTGATCCAAGATGAGTGAGGTCCAGGGCTATCACTGGAACCAGAAGCAATGCAAATTACATCCGGTAGTCATTTACTACAAAGAAAATGATGGAGTCATTGGATCAACATCATTATGCTTTTTATCCGATGACCTGGAACATGATGTGCATTTCGTATATAATGTGTTGAAAGCCACTGCACATCATATCAGGGAAATGATATCAATGGACATAAAGGTTGTCCATTACTTTTCTGATGGTTGTGCAGGCCAGTATAAGAACTGCAAGAATTTTTTAAACTTGTGCCACCATAAGGAAGACTTTACAATTAGTTGTGAGTGGAATTTCTTCGCCACCAGCCATGGTAAATCCCCATGTGATGGGATTGGAGGTACAGTTAAGCGTTTAGCTGCTCAAGTCAGCCTGCAACGACCAATGAAAAACCAAATTTTTTCTGTTGAGGCATTATTTCAATTTTGTAAAACAGAAGTCAAAGGAATCAACTTCTATTACATTACAAAGGAGGAAAACAACTTGACAAGAAAAGATCTTGAGAAACGCCTGACAGCTGCAAAAACGATTCCAGGAACTAGGGGGTTCCATCAATTTGTACCGCAATCCAAAGCATTGATTGGAGCAAAAACAATATCAGAAACCCCTGAATTTGATGTCAAGTTTGATTTCAATCTAGCTGTCATTGAACCTCATGACGATATTTAAATCGGGGATTATCTTGTGTGCAGGTATGATACACATTGCTGGGTTGGAGTGACTATTGAAGTCAGTAGTGAGAATAAAGATGTTGCCATATAATTTTTGCATCCACACTTGCCATGTGTATCATTTATGTGGCCAAGGCGTGATGACGTATGTTGGGTGCCAACATCAAACATTCTGAAAAAGGTACAACCACCAAAACCATCAACGATGACTGGAAGGCAATACACCTTTGAACCAAAAGATGCTCTTGAAATAGAACTGTAGACAATATGTATATAATTGAGCATTTTGTAGATTTTAATGTACATAATTTGTCAAATAATTGAAAGTTTGTTGCATTGATATCAATTGACACTCAGTGAATATGACCTTTTTGAATCATATATCTGTAAGATGTTGAAGTCAGAGCTTTAAAAGATGCACAACACTGTTTTCTTTAGATTTACTGAACACTCTTTGCTTAAAAGAGAGAGAATATCTTACTTCGATTGTTGCATGAAAATGCTAATTTTGGGCAATTTTTAACATGCCATATTTCAATAAAGGAAGAAAACACCCTAACAGTTTCTTCTATCTTGCTTGTTCCTTTAGTACTCTAATCAAATTTAAAAATCAAATCATTCCAACTTAAGCAACATGATGAAATTCATGCCATTATCTTCACCGGCCGTTGCCATGGCAACAACTTCCCCTTCTTTTTCTATATTTAGAATGACTTTTGTTTGTGACTGGAAATTTTTGATCATGTTTTTGACATCTACATAGTTGATTAGCTTGTCTGGTTTATTTTCATTTTAAATGTATCATTTCTTCATTGGTTCTAATTTAAGTAAATAATAGCAAAAATTCAAAGTGGCAGATCATTGAAAAATGTGCCAAAATTATTAAAATTTCAAACCCGTCTAACTTTTTAATAGTAAAAGATATGAAGATGAAATTTTCAGTTTATGTTTATGTCATGGTTTTCAACATGTCCACCAAAAATCATCCAAATCTGAGGTGGTGGGTTAAAAAATTACAATTTTTGTTTCATTCTGAGATGGAATGACCCCAAGGCTAATCTTAATTGCGAAGTCATTTTCATCATTTTCATCATCATCATTATTGCCACGTTTGTCATTTCTGGAGCAATTTTTTTCTGCATTGTGCTCTCCGAAAATTGATGATGTAGCAAGACGAAATGTTTCATTTTTTGGGTGGGCATTGCAAATCAAACAGTAATTTACATGTCCTGTACAAATGTTATGGAAAGCATGCCAACAACCTTCAAGTGAACAGCATGGTAAATTCACCCTACATTGCTGTTATGATGGACGACACAAGTGATTCAAGCAATGTTGAGCAGTCAGCAATTTCAGTTAGACTTGTTGATAATAGTAATGTAGAAGAACATAGGCTTGGTCTGGTTGATGTCTCCAAAGATACATCAGCAGATGGTTTAACTAAAATTCTCCTGGACACCCTAAGCTCATTCAATTTTACCTCAAAAACATGAGCAGAGAAGCTTAAAGGACAGTCCTATGAAGGGACTGTAGTAATGAGTGGCCGGTTCAGCAGGGTGCAAAGACAAATGTAGGACAAGTTTCCATCCATATATCATCAGAACTGCATAGTTATAATATGCACTGGCACAGAATGGCACTCTGCGCATCTAAAACTGCAGGTAAAATCCCCAAGATCGCAGAATTTTTCAGCACAGTTGACAAATTGATAACTTTTTTTATATCTAGCCAAAAACGAACATTGGTTCTTGGGCACTGCTTGCCAAAACCAGGAAAAACAAGATGGCTTTCTTGCGATACTGCAGTGACAATAATAGATGTATGGTATGAGACAATCGGCACTGCTTTATATGAGTTTTCAACTGATACCACCCAGAAAGCTGAAAACCAGGCTAATGCAAGGCGCCTTTGCAAACAGATTCAAGAAATTGATTTCATCTTTTTACTGAAACTGTACAGAAAATTATTTCATCACTGTACACCAATCATAAAATTAATGCAAAATCCATCTTTTGACGCTATCCAACTTGCTTCTATGCTTGACCACTACCAGCAGGTCCTACAGTTGTATGACTCGAGTCAGACATGGGCAGATGCATTAAGCATGGATCCATCTCTGCCATATATTCGCACTAGAGGAGATTGGAGGGGAGTAGAGCAAAAAATGGATAGTTTGGAGAGCTGGCGGCAATCTCTGCAGAAAGTTGCTGCAAACCTTACGCAAGAATGTTCAAAGCAGATTCAATGGAGGTTTGAAAATCTAAAAAAGTTCAAGTGGGAATCGATCTTGTTCATCCAGTTAAATTTAACCAGCACAGGATGGCTACTGTCAACGACAAAAGGGCCCTAATTAGCGAATTAAAAGAGTTATATCCATTTGTTGTACCTGATACAGTGGATCTTGCTAAAAACAGAAGATATCAGGTAAGACAAAGACAAAGAGTTCAGGGGTATGGACAAAATGAGTGATTATAGTTCACAAAATTCAAACATTGCAACAATTGATGTGATTGAATGTTTCAGTTAATGATTTGATTAAATAAACTGCTTATATTATTGATCGTATTTTTGAAGTTAACTTTTAAAATTATTATTTATTGAAGGAAAATTTTATTCCCAAAGTTAGAGAGGGATATGATGTCTGAGCGATGACATCGAATTGTTTGATTGACATTTAGATGTTTAAATGATATTGATAGTAGTATGAGTTAGCATGCAACAGAGATAGATCACAAATATAGAAAAGGTAATTTTCTTGGATTTCTCTACATCATGGGTCTCAGCCCCTCACTCAAAGACACTATCAATATTATGCTGGTAATTGTGTTTTCTAGGAGTGACCGGTAAATCTAGTAATTCTGCTTCAGGCATTACCCAAAAAGATATAGTCTGCTTGATGCAACTTTTGTAGTGTTTTAATCCAGAGGACTGCTACTGTTTGGCCAATTCATGCTGACGTTCTCGGATTTGGGAGGGATTTAAATTAATTATCACTGTGCCTTAACAAAAGTTGCAAAATATAAACACCAAAAAGGTAATTGAATGACTGCATTTGACTTTGTATCCCAATTATTCTACATCAGATTTAAAGGGTCTCCAGTCAAACAAAATTTTCTATTGACTAAAAAGTTAATATCTGGTGCTTGTATTATGTCTATGTAGTTGTTTTTGCAAAATTCCAATTGATTTATAAGTTATAAGGCTTTAAATTATATTGCACCTTACAACAAAAAAGCGACAAAAATCAATTTGGTGACATTCTGACATCATAATGTGCGGCTCTTGTTTGCTGTAAATTTTGTATATCTTCCAACAAAGCGTGAAGGAGTACAGAGCTTTGTTGTATCCAAGATGGATCTCCGCACTCAGGTCAAGAAAATCAGGCATGTTTGCCATGACTTTGCTCTCTGCATTCTTTTTCAACAAATTATTACATCTGCTTTGGTTGGAATGTTTCTGTTCTCGGTGGAGGCGGGCAACATCAGCAGCAGTGCTTTTGTACCCAACAAGCTGGAGACCAAGATACATAAGACCTAGTTTAGACAGCGCATTTTGAGCACAGCAAATTAAATTCGCTCAAAAAGCTTTAAACCTTGGAGCGCTTTAAACTATTGCTTGGTTTTAGACAGCAAATTTTGAAACAAGCGAATTGACTATGCAGATAGTATAGCATTGAATTTGCAAGTTCAGAGGAAATGTTTCAAGTCTGGTGCAGTTCCTTCAAAATTTGCCCTTCCTGACCATATTGTCCCTAAAGAAAGTAAAATTAGAAAGCCACCTGCTAGAGGAATATCTTTAAAAAATGTGATATTGCCCAATCACCTTCTAGTGAAACATCTATGAAGAATTGTGATCGCTCATATGGTGCATCACCCTCTAAGAAAGTAAAGAAACTATCAAATATGATATTAAAAAAGAATAGGCAAATAAAACGGCTTAAAGCCCAGAGACTTTGCAGAGAAAAAACTATGCACAGCTTAATCAATGAGTTGAATAAATATAAATATTTAACAAATGCAAATGCTGACCAAATGCTGATTCAAAATTTCAATGAAATTGCTCTTGATCTATTCAAGAACCAAGCAAAGAATAGTGAAAAGAAAACTGGTTCAAGATATGATAAGTCCATAAGAGAATTTGCTGTCACTTAACATTTCCGTAGTCCTAGAGGCTATAGATATGTAAAAAAAAACACTTTGTCTGCAAAGTCCATCAACCATTTGGAGTTGGGCAGCAAATATTGAAGTTGAGCCTGGGTTTCTTTTGAATGTCATCAATTCATTGGAGCACATGGTTTCTTCTGATCAGCGTGACAGTATTATCATCTTAGATGAGATATCATTAAAATCACAAACAGTGGTGGAGAGAAAAACTGGTCGGCTCTTTGGTAATGTTGACTTTGGCTCTATCCAAGAAAAGAGAATATGGCAATTCATGTACTTGTAGTAATGGCAGCAAGCCAAAAAATGAACTGGCAGTATCCAAATGCTCATTTTTGTACTGCCACAACAGATTCTGATATTCAGGCCCAAATAATTACTGTGGGAATAAACTTTTTAACAGATCGTGGTTTCAATTGTCACACATTAGTCTTTGATGGAACTTCAACACTTTGGCCACAGCAACAAAGCTAGGTTGCAAAATATTTGAAAATTTTGATGGTGCTTTTAACCATCCATCCAGAGATGGTGAAAAGGTCCATGAAATTTCAGATGAATGTCATATGCTAAAGCTGGCAAGAAATGCACTTGCAAAAAAAGGCATCTTTTACAATTCAAATAAAGGGCAATCCAAATGGGACTTTATAACTAAATTGCATCAGGTCCAAATTGAAAATATCTTGCATCGTGGAAACAAACTTCGTGGCCAGCATATAAATTGGCGAAATCACATAATGAAAGTAAAAATTGCATCCCAAACTCTCAGCTGTTCTGTTACCTCAGACTTAAATTTCTTGTATGCTCTTGGATTTTCTGGATTTGAATTGAAGACAGTGCAGCAACAACTCTTAAAATAAATGACCTTTTTGATCTGCTTAATATTTAAAACAAATTTAGGAAGGGAAAAAAGCAACCAATAACATTGGAAAACATTGATGAATTCTCATCGCATATACTGAAAACTATGTAAAATCACGATCCGCTGTAAGTGTCAGGACTAAAAGGCAAATGGTATTATATATGAGCACATTGTGGTTGTTGGTGAAAAAGGAGGCAATTTATTTCAAGAAAGCTGCGAAACAAGACAATGGTGCCTTCAAGAAAATCTTTTCACATGTTCCAAAGAGTGCTGGTGACAAACCCTCAAAAAACAGATGTGGAAAAAATAATGTTGAGAAAGCCCCGATTGTCAGTGTTGTGCAAAGTATGGAGACTAGGACTCCCCGACAGGGCATTTTTACCGATCATTATCACAATGATAAGAACTTCAAAATAGTTTTCATCAGTTTGTACTGATGCAGTTATGGTTTTCTAATGTATAAAAAACCCAAAAACTTGAACACACCGGTATTGCAATGTTTGACATCGTCGGGTTGATGCATAGAAACGGGCATTGTCAACAAGCCATTTCGAGCAGGTTTGGCAGAGGAAAGCGATTCAAACATACACAATATAATTTCTAAAGAGCTAAAAACTTCTTCAAGGTAAAGCAGGGAAAGCCTTAATTAGGCCCAGGCCATGAATACTTGTCTAGCAAGACATCAAAATTGTTACTTTTACAGTTAGAACAAACTGATATTTAGACATTGCAAACAGGGAGTGGGGGTAGGAATTAGAATCACTGGCTAAAAGTGGTACAATTTTGTGATTCTTGCATCTATATATATATTTTGGCCATTGTTGTGGTAGGCCTTTGCCTTAATTGCCAGAAATAATAGGCTTTAGACCATAGAAATAACTATGATGGCAATTGTTCCACATGCTTAATGTATTTGCAAAGTGCATCATTTTAAAATAACTTCGTGGTCACAATGGGTAATGATGCAGTGCTGCTTAATACCATTGGAATTTGGATATACTTTCATCTTTCACTATCTTATTTGATATATGTTATGTTGTGTTACAGGTGGATGTGCGATAAGTGTTCTGTTGGAAAATTGGCAAGGAGTATCGCTGCTGTTGGGAAATTTTATCAGCTCATGGAAAGCTCACTTTTGATGGGAGCATTGACAGGATCAAATGTGTCACTCAGCGTGATGGCTTTGCCGCACTTACAAACACAACTTTTTTAAAACAAGTAGCACCACTGTTGAAGTGCAGAGATGGTAAAAGTTACAGAAAAAAGAAAGACAACACAGAAAATGAGTAAAGCCCAGGTCAAATGCATCCAACATTTCATCCAACATTTACTCCCAAAAAAAAAGTTTGTTGATATTTTTAATTGGGTGGTCAAACGCATCCAATATTGCATCCAATACGCGAAACCAGAAACTGGATAAAGAGAAGAGAAGAGCATGGATTTTGCAATATCATAATAATAATAATATCATATTTATACAGGTTAACTTTGGTCAGCAACAACGTGCTGTTATCAATAAAGGACCTGTCTAAAATATACATGGATTACCGAAATAAAAATTATATACATGATGAAAATGAAATCTTAAAAGTCGAAGTTAAAATTTTTACAAAAAGTCTTAAATCTTAGAATTGAAGTTTCACACTTCATTTCGTCTGTTAGTTTATTCAAAATCTTTGCTCCTTGAAAGTAAAAGGCCTTCTTGCCTGCTTCTGATTGTACTTTGGGCAAAACAATATTTTTTGCATTGGCACGAGTACACTGCCTGTGTTTTACTCTAGTCAAGTAGTTTCAAAAACTGTCCATGTTCAATTCACATCGTTCGTGAGTTGCATATCGAGGACTGTGCAGGTTATAGAAAAATGATGGGAATTGAACATGGACAGTTTTTAGAAATTTTAAATATGATAGAGAAAAACATAACTCCAAAACAGATACGGTGATCAGTCCTATGTCCAGACTGAAATTAACATTGAAGTTTTTTTGCAACTGATAATACATACCAATCGTTGGCCTTCCAATTTTGTATCTCTAAGGCCGCAACCTGATACATTATTGACAAAGTTTGCTTTGCCATCGTGGATGAAATGGCACCTGTGTACCTCAAAACACCCCAAAATGATAAAGAATGGAGAAAAATAGCAACGCAATTCGAAGAAAAATGGCAGTTTCCAAATTGCCTTGGTGCATTAGATGGCAAGCACATAGTCATGCAGCCACCTCCAGGGGCTGGCTCAAAGTACTATAACTACAAACACTGTCACTCCATAGTTCTCCTTGATGTTGCTTGCCCAAATTATGGGTGTCTTTATGCAGATGCTGGAAGCAATGGTAGAGTATTTTGCTTCCCCCTGAAAAAATTGAGAGATTAACAATGGCAAAATTGGCCATTCATAACTTCTTGAGGCAAAGCAGATCATAGAGTGCTTATTGCCCCCTGGTTTCATAGACAGCAACCATTCCAGTTCTGGGGAAATCATTCCATGCCAATGGCAAAAAGACATCCCAAATGAGTCATTATTTCACCTTCAAGCTTCTTCCACTGGGAATAATCCAAGTAATAGTGCAAAAGAAGTGAGGGAATTATTGAAGAACTATTTTTGCAATGAAGGAGCTGTAAGTTGCCAATGGCGGCAATGCTAAAACTTGAGACAATCTGAGAAACTAGACCTCTTAGCTTTTTAATCTTTGCATTAATGCAAACTGTAACTTTGTTGGAGAAATCTTAAACTGTGTTACCAAGGTTTTGTGATGAACCTTCTGACAACAAACTAGTTCATAGGGCGCCAGAACTTTTTTTTGCTGATTAATCCAAATAAACATCAATGTCCAAAGAAGAGCAGCACTGCATTCACAGGCATCAAATGTCCTTTTCTTGTTATCATTTTTAAAAATTGCATACAAATTTCTTGTTGTTCAAACTGTCATTTGGTTTGAGAAATAGCACTAGACATTAGGAAACTGTATCCTTAAAACAACATTTTTTGAAATTATTTCTAGTTAGAAACAATGGTCATCGACCCTCTCTTGGTACTCATAGTGCTAAGAAAGTCAAATCAGTTCAGTTCATATATTTCAAGCATTGGGAGTGTTGAATTTCCAGTAACTTGTCTCATGTAAATTATGATTCCAGAATAGCTGAATAAATAAACTTATGACAGGTACAGTATGTTCAGAGTTGCTCTACTTGAAACTACCTCAAGTACTATTTGTTCTAAGTATATTTCCTCAAATATAAGGAAATATTGTTCAAATACAGTTTGCCACTGGTATCTGTGCAATACCAAGAAAATCTTTCGCATTTAGTAGGCAATTCAGGAGACTTTACTTTAAATTTTACATAGTGATTTCACCATAAATAATATAAAATTTTCAAAATGTTACCCTATTAGCAATACTCTGCATGTACCCATCATGAAATTGAAACATTCTCTTCTGGAATCCAATTTTAGCTAAAGGATTTAATTTGGCTTACCAATTTTGATCAATTTTCTTTGCCAAATTGTCCATGAGCAAATTCGGTAGATAATTCATTGGAATGCCCTTCATGCATGTCTGCAACATGGTCGAAAAAGACTTCCATTTTGCAACTACTAGCTCTCCAAACCCTTCTTTGGTCCAAACACATTCTGGAATACTGTAAGGTCAGGGTAGGCAGGACAGCACTGCACGGAAAGGTAATGGCAGATTCCAGGCCTCACAACCTCTAAATAGAAATGAGGACTGTAGGGTTTACCATGTAAATGTCGTTAGGGGATCCTTTTCCAAACCATCTGAGGCAGATTCTTTGTCTACGTCAGCTACTTTTGTCCCCCTGATTACTCTGATTCTCTGTGAAGCTACTGAATCCTTACTCCTGAAGGCTACCATAAATAATATCCCGGTTTTCTGTTTAGTGAAGACAGGTGCTCAAATTACTGTAATTTGTTATGACTTAACTTCTGAAGCCCCCTGTTGCTACATTAAGATCACAGGGACACATTATTGCAAGTGGTATTGATAATATTTATTTACAAAGTGATTCATATGAAGGTTGTGTTAATACTGTGCTATCTACCTTCAGACAATTTAAAGACCTTTGTTTTGTCGTACATCCAGAAAAATCAGATCTTTTTTCTAAACAGCAAATAAAATATCTAAGCTTTACTCTTGATTCAATATATATGACAATTCATTTATCTGCTGAGCTTAAAACAAAGATAAAAGAATTTTTGCAAAATTTGGAAGGACATGGTCGTGCTGTATCTATTCATGATACTGCAAAAGCTATTGATTATATAGTCTCACGCCTCCCTGCAGTTCCTTTTGGGGGAATACATCTTCTATCACTCAAAAATGATAAAATACAGGCGTAAAAAATCTCTCTGGGCGATTTTGATGCTATTATGGCGATCAGTAAACTTACCCCATCTGATATAGAATTGTGGCTTTTGAATTTAGATGATAGTTTTAGATACATATCAAGGTCACCCCCGACCCTACTCTATATTAAGATGCTTCACTTTCTGGGTGGGAAGCCGCACTTGACTCCATTTCCTCTTGGGGTCCAATGTCCCAAGCAGAAGCCTGATATCACATTAATGCCTTAAAGCTGCTAGCAGCCTATTTTGTCCTCAAAAGTTTTCAAACACAGCTTGTAAACAAACACATTGAATTAATGTTTGCAGTTATTAATGACATTGGTACCAATCATAGCCATAATTGCAGTACCATGACAATGAAGATTTGGAATCTTTTTTATGGTAACCAAATTTGGATTACTGCTTGTCACAGGTAAAAGCAACTTCTTTTGTGCAACATAAAAGAGCTATATTCTTTGTTCAAGGATGATAAAACCTGCTTTATGTATTGGGTTTTACAAGTTTGCATGCTTGAGGCCAAAATGATGCATCCCAGTTGGTCCCAAGGGGACACATTATGTGTGTCTGCACTTCTCATAAAAATCTGAAGCTTCTTCTTGATGCTGCAAATTTAGGACACCAGTACCATGACCTGATTGATATGGTAGTCTGTGACAGTACTTCCAGAATATGCATGATTCATAGATGTGCACAATGTCTTACAATCGAAAAATGTTGAAGGTTGCTTGTGCAATATCTTCACAGAATCAACAACATTTGGAGAAGGCAAGGATGTTGAAGCTGAAGATGATTTTACTGAAGATACAGTCACTTTCCATCATTGGACAACTTTGGACAGAGCTGAACTTGTTTCCCAAACTCTTCCAGTTGCTGATTTTATTGATAAGTTGCGTTACCAGCTAGATCAAATAACCAGCCATTCATTTATTGCAAAGTCGCAAGCTTCATATTTGAAGAGGTAAAACGAACTTTGAATCAGGAGGAAGTCATTGTTTTACTAGACTTTGCAGAAAACTTTAAATTTGTGATCCAAGATGAGGTCCAGGGTTATCATTAGAACCAGAAGCAATGAATATTACATCTGGTAGTCATTTACCACAAAGGAAATGATGGAGTTATTGGATCAGCATCATTATGCTTTTTAAACGATGACCTGGTACTTGTATTTCGTATATAATGTGTTGAAAGCCACTGCACATCATATCAGGGAAATCATATCCACAGACATAAAGGTTGTCTATTACTTTTCTGATGGTTGTGTAGGCCAGTTTAAGAACTGCAAGAACTTGTGCCACCATAAGGAAGACTTTGCAATGTATTGTGAGTGAAATTTCCTGGCCAGCAGCCATGGTGAATCCCCATGTGATGGGATTGGAGGTACGGTTAAATGTTTCGCTGCTCAAGTCAGCCTACAACAACCAATGCCAAACCAAATTATTTCTCTTGAGGCACTATTCGAATTTTGTAAAACAGAAGTCAAAAGAATCAACTTCTATTGCATTACGAAGGAGGACAACAATTTGACAAGAAAAGATGTTGAAAAACGCCTAATAGCTGCAAAAACGATCCCAGGAACAAGGGGGTATCATTTATGTGGCCAAGGTGCGATGACATATGTTGGGTGACAACATCAAACAATCTGAACAACCATCAGAACAACCAATTGATGACTGGAAGGCAATACACCTTTGAACCAAATGATGCTCTTGAAATAGAACCATAGACAACAATGAAGCATTTTGTAGATTTTTATGTAATTTGTCAAATAACTGACAGTTTCTTGCATTTTTAACAATTGAAACTCAGTGAGTATGACTTTTTTGAATTACTTATTTGTAAGATGTTGCTTGAAGTTATGGTAAATGTTTTCTGGATGAAAACATCTATTTTTCCATTATGCTCAGACCACTAACATATGCTCAGACATTAAAATCATATTTACACTAATGTTCCACACATTGTTTCCACCTATGGAGTAATATGCTTCGAAAGTGAAGTCATCGTTGATTGGCTAATTGTCATCAGCCATAGTTACAAGGTAGCAACTGTCCCGCTTCTCGTGAAAGCCGACAAAACATTGGAATAATTGCAGCACAATGGCGGAACAACTTGTCAGTTTGTCAGGATTAGTTACCTTCTTCCGTGAAGATTCTAATTGTATTACGAAAGGTGAACTTAAGTTCAACTCAGGTTTCGTTCTAGACGTCAAGCTTAAAGGTTTTGAAGTGATTGCGATAGTGCATGCCTTGATGAAAGATTGTTCGTATAAGGTGGGCCTAAATATCGATGGAAAGGGTTCAATACTTTCTGCAACATGTGTGTGTGCAAGAGGAAACTGGATTTGTAGTCACATGGCAGCAGCAGCAATTCACGTGAATAAGAAGGGATTCTCAAAGACTGATTTGCCTAATAGCTGAATTGCGAGAGCCAAAACCGGTCAAATTAAAGAGTGGGTCAAGACCATGCTGGATTTATTCAAGCTGAGTAAGCCAGCATATCGAGCAACTTCTAGGCATTTTCCAGAGGAAGATAGACAGTCGTTTTTGCAAGACCTAATTGTCAATGATGTTGATTGCCCTTTTAGATGGTTGCTTTCTCCTGAAATTGACAATACTTCTGACCCAAGAGCACCACCTCTCATTGAAGAGCTCTTACCAATCTTTGCCAGCGACCCGTCGTCATTTCTTGAAAAGGTTAAAGTTACACAAGAACAACAAGAATATGTTGCTGAAAAAACACAATTGCAGCGAAAAAGTCAGTACTGGGGAATGTACAGACGCTTGAGGCTTACAGCCAGTAACTTTGGAATGGTGTTAAAATCAATAGATCGCAAGAAAAATACAGGCCGTCCTTTCCCTCCCTCACTCTTCAAATCTCTTAGGGGAAAGTATAACTTGGAAAGGAAAGACCCAATAATTTGGGGCAACATGCATGAAGAGATTGCGTTGAAGGCATATATAGAGAAGACAGGCAATCAAGTGGTCCAAAGTGGACTGCAGTTGTTTTCTTGTGGCTATTTGGGATGCAGTCCAGATGGGATAATTATCCCCAAGGAAACCAGTGGCTCTCGTGGTGCCTTGGAAATAAAATGTCCATGGAAATACAAGGACAACACAATAGATGAAATCCTATCTTTGGAAAAGGCTAAGAATCCACTTTTGAAGGACTTTTTTTTAACTGAAAATCTAGAACTTAATGTGCTACACAATTATTGGCATCAGGTTCAAGCAGAAATGGCTGTACTTCCTTTAGAATGGGCTCATTTTGTTGTTTGGACTTTTAAAGATTGCCTGATAACATACCAAAACTTTCAAATTTTTACCTACATGATCTATTACCTGCATGTTACACAAAAGATGATTAATTACAAATACACACAAACAATTGTTTCTAAAGTTGGTTTAGTTTATAAATACTTTGCATAAGTAAAATTGTGATTCTTCTTGCTTTTTTTCTTTTATATTCATCACACCAGATAGAATAGGTGACTGAAGGTTGACAAGTGAACAGCATACTTGGACAAGTTCAGATGCTAGTGGTCTCAAATTTGTTGCTATCTTGTCAAGGATCCTGTAATTGCGAAGTCGCTCAATTGCCCTTTCAACATGTATCCTTGAACGCGAAATTTTTTGAGAAAAAATAGCTTCTGCTTTTGTAAACATCTTCTTTGAAAACAGAAAAGCTGGCAGGTTCAGGAAAACACCTTGTGGCAAAACGTTGTGTAGCAAAAAGCCCTTGTCAGCAAGAATTAAATCACCAGCCTGAAAAAAGAAATTAGAAAGTGTTTTGCATTCAAAGAAATTTGTTGCCACTTTAGATGAATTTGTGCAATAATGTCAGGGTTTCATTTATTTAGGGGCGCATGCAAAAAAATTTGGGACAAAAAAGACAAACTGAACATGGTATCAGGGGCTTGAAAGCATGAATGATATGACAAGGGTGCAATTTTTTTTCATGCATGGGGGAGGGGATTGGCCTCAACACCCCTTCTATAATTTTTGCAACTGTTGAACTGCTTTAATGAAAAAGGACTTGAAAAAGCATTGCAAAATTTATTTCATTCTACACTGTAATTACTCACTTTTAGGTGATTAAGGACCCCACAGTGTTCTGTTAAAACTTTATCACTAGTATTTCCAGGGTAACCATCATTAACATATGTGATTGTACCATTTGGTGCTACACCAATTAAGAATTTGCCAGTGAGGTTGTGCTTGTAATTGCTGTATGAAGCACTTGCAGCATTCAAGTCTTGCCTTGGTGTGGTGATTCTGAATTCAGTGCAGTCAATGATAACCCTGCAATTTGTGAATTCTCCAAAAGATTCAGGCATACTCCCTTGGTTTTTTGCCAGTGAAGGCATTCGCTTCATCAGTCCCTGGTACAAAACTTCATGCACTGCATACAAATATGTTAGAAATATATTGTGTATTGTTGTGCGACTGACACCATACCGCTTTGCTATGTCAAAAAGTGGCACATCAAGCTTCAGTTTCATTAGAAAGATCAATAACTGGTCTTAATCACTAATTTTGACTACTTCGCAACCAGTCCAGTAATTCAATGGTCTAAATGCATTGATTAGCTTGTCTAATTTAAGTAAGGCTCGTTTTGACAAGTTTGTATATCCTTTTATGTCGTCTTCTGAAAGCCTTTCAAATGTGAAGACTTTCCTTTCAAGCTCTCTTGTTTCTGAGAAAGCTTTATCAAGATGTTTCGTGAGAGACTCCATTCCCTGCTCTTCGTGGTGGTGATCTGCTTGAGGTAGGGACATCTCAGCGTCGGTTTCGTCCAGCAAGAATTCACCACTAGCAGCTAATTTCTTCTTAGGGCTTTTCTTCAGTGGCTCTAGTGCTCTTAAAGATGTCGCTGTCAAGCGCGACTTGACTTCTTCACTACTCTCCCCACGTAAAAACAAGCTCGGTATTGCTCCCCTTTTCAGTCTTGGCTTTTTGTACACAGTAGGTGTATCCTTTGAAGGCTCAGTAAAGTCCTCCTTTTTGAAGTGCTTACTGCACACGTACGAATATTTCGAAGGCTCAAAGCCGAACCTACAATTTCCAACTTTCCACGCTGCTGCTTGTTCCTTGTTCGATGGAAAATCATGGTACGAAACGTCTCTGTCCCAAGGATTATGAAAACATACAAATACACAGCAATATCGCGGCATTTTCGATTCTTAGTTTGTGCTCAAGGTCTCTCGTGTGTTTACTTCGACACTAGGCCAATAACACTAGGCCATTGCTACCTGGTAACTAAGGCCGGCGAAGGCTAGCCAATCAGCGAAGATTTCACTTTCGGAGCGTATAGAATCTTATAACAGTGATCACAAAGGTATATACACTACAATTTTAAAATGTTCAAAGTATCTCAAATCCACATGCGAATCTCCTGTAGAAATTTCGTTAAGCTTTTAATTGCAAGAATTACTACAGTGCAAAAATATTCAAAATTACTATACTTTATTATTCTATATTATACAACCTGTCCTACTACCACAATTACTTCTTCAATTATCTGCAATAGCAATAGCTCCACATAGCTAAATATGTCTACAAAAACAATTACGATTTCCTCAACAAACTACATTGCTATTAACTCAGAAAAGTGCTAATTTTTGTCATTAAGCTCAGTTATAAAACTACCAAATAACTTTACTTTGCTACAAAAAACTCAAAAATTATCATCAATTTCCGATTTCATCCAAAAATACAAGATAAATTGCATATTTAAACATTGATATTTCCCACGCTCTAGCTCTTCGATAACATATAAAATCCACTCTGGATTTTTTACCACAAAATGCAGTTCTATACCACATATTTGTTGCACAGAAAGAATGTTTAAATACATCATCGAAATGGCAAAGAAATCTCAAGATCTCTGAGGTAACTTCACTGTCTTTGTACGTTTTCTGCTCTCTGTGCATAATTATCCTCATATCTATCATTAGACATCATTTTGGCCAGCAGTCTCAAATTGATCATACGAATAATGATTGGTATTTGAAAAACTTGTTGATGATCTGTATTTAGTGCTAAATACTACTCCATTCTTAATTGTCTCTAAGGTGGAATAGGTTATATTTTTTGGAGCACCATAAAAAATAACAGCATGAACTTCTGCTCCTTTCTCAGTTAGCAGGTTAATGTCCTCAAAAATTATGTGTTGCAAAATATCTGCATTCACGCTGTTGGTTAGAAAATAGCCAATGGGAACAAACCATGGTCTCTGCAAGCCAGAAGCTAGAAACAAGGGTATTTGATGCAACAAGATCAAGTGGCTCACCCTTTAAATTCCCATAATCCACATGGCCAGCAAATTTAAAGTTTCTTTTGTCCCATTCAAGGGTTTTTTTATTGCCATCTCATCAACACTAAGAACACAGTCTTTCTGGCCTTCATTCACTTTTTGCTCCACAAAGTCAAGTGGTTTTTGCAAAAATCCTGGCTCACATTCAACATTTACTGACCATGATCTCAGTGTTGATGGGTGTGGCAAATGTAGAGCTTTCCGGACAAATCTATAGGCACGTGGACTATAAAAATGCAATGAAATGGCAAATTCTTTTATCTCATTTGAATATGAAGAACCTGTTGACCTATTTATATTTTTTACTTCGTTTTTGAATAATGACAATGTCATGTGTCCAAAATTTTCCAAAAATGAATTTCCAGACTCTTCGGAGAGCATTCTATATTGTTTTAATTTGGCAACCAAGGCCCCTATGGTTTTTTGCTTTCTGATATTCTTCCTTCGAAGATTTTTTATAATTAAATTCTTTTTCTTTTATTTTTCCTTGATAAAGCTTTTTTGCTTTTCTTTGGGGATGACTTTGTGGCATAATTATGATCCAGTCTTGGTTGCTTTGAGCTGGGTATAGGAGGTTCAACAGAACTGGATTGAATAATTCTTTTAGGGACAGATCGTGGTGGTGCTACTTTTTTCTTCAAATGGTCAGGAAAATTAAATACTGATGGAACAGCATCTTTTTTTAAGTATTTTATTTTCAATGAGGCAGCACCTGGTAAAGATGGTTCATAACTGTAATCAGTGGGAAGAAAGTGACATTCGCATATCCTTGCTGACTGGGATGGGTGCCAATCTTTTCTTCGCATAGCTACCAGCCATTTTTTTAAAAGCTCTTCATTTTTGTGGGGAAATCTTTCAAACCATAAAATTCTGAGTAAAAAAAACATGATCTAAAAATGTTAATGTTGATCTAAATAACTGTTACGTTTGCGGATCCGAGCAGAGAGAGACATATAATGATCACAACACTTGTACTTTGTAACTCTTTTTCTGATCGTTAACCTTAGTCCAGTACTCTTACTGACTTAGCCCTGGTTAATGTAGCATGCAATGACGCAAACAACAGGGTTGTCGACACATACAAATAGGACAATGGCTAAGGATCATTACACTACCTCCCCTCTTAAAATCTCCACCCAGGATCAGTGAGTTATGTATTCTCCAAACCTCAAAGGGGGATTAATATTTTGCCTCAAATGAACCGGCCTTTGTAATGGTTGAAGGTCAAGGTTTTGATGTCCCCCTGCAAACAGTCCCTCTGTCTTTCTAGGTTCCCCTGGGAGAAATGTACTTCCTCAGCTTCGCGAACCGGGCAGAACGGTTCCCCTTTGTCAAAAGGAACAGTGCAAGTTTTGACATTGTTGTGATGAGCCACAATACTTTTCCCTTCCTTAGATTGAAGTTTATAGTTAACCCCATGACAAGAAATTATCTTGTAAGGGCCAACCCACCTCATACCAAACTTCCAAGACTTGGGGCGGCGCAACCAAACAGTTTGGCCAACCGGGAGGGGTGTCCATTCATTTAGAGACAACTATTTCTGACTATTTCTACTACTGACTAGATTTTTCTTAGCTACCTCTGGGACAGTAAAAAGGTGTTTTCCAACAGATGTAGAATATTCTGATTGGCTATGAGGATTCTTCAATGGTACCCCTAAGTCTACCTCTAAAGGTGTTCTAGCAATAGGACCAAAAACTAATTCATAGGGACTAAAACCAGTTGACTAGTGTGAACTGGTATTGTATGAATAAACAGCCAAGTCAACCCACAAGTCCCAATCTTCTTTATGTGAAGAGACAAAGGTGGCAAGAATATCCTGTAGTGTACGATTCTGTCTCTCGACAAGGCCATCACACTGTGGGTGATATGCAGTGGTGCGACCCTTATGAATACCCATGATGTTACATACTTCATGCATTAAATTGCTTTCAAAGTTACGACCTTGATCTGAGGGAAGAACTGTTGGAAGGCCAAATCTACTAAAAACTTTGGATACTAATATCTCAGCAACAGTGCAGGCTTTCTGGTCTTTAGTTGGAAAAACCTCACACCATTTTGTGAAATGATCCATAATCACAAGTAAATTTTTGTTACCACGAACTGTTTCAGGGATGGGGCCCATGTAATCCATTGCCCAGAACACAAAAGGCTCATTAACTTCAATAGATTTTAGGGGAGCTTGTTTATGGCATGGGTCAAGTTTTCTTTGAGCACAATTGCTACAGTTGCAAACAAAATACTGCCGCTTGATGCTTTTGTCAACTGAGGACTGACTTTATATCCAGGTGTCCCTAAATTCTTCCAGCATGGCATCCTCGGTGGCTTCTTGCATTGGTCTCTCTCTTATCATTTCCAATTGACTTTTTTCTCTTTCTTTGAATTTATTCTTTCCAATTTCCAAGAATTCTTGCCCACACTTCAACTGTGCCTTGTGCTTCCTCGACAAGCATTTAGTTATTTCTAATTCCAGCTGCTCTGGCCTTCGACCAATATTAAGTATTGTTTCAGCACTTTTTACTCCTTTCTGTTATTTAAAGATAATATATCCACAGAGGGATTGTGCTTGCCCTTCGTTGTTTACCTTTGACGCTATAAGATACTTGAAGTCTTCACTCTGCTGTTCCAGTCGCTCCATGTTATCATCTGGAAAACACTTGTAGACAAATGTCAAACACTTCGCTTTTTTCAGATGTCCCGCATACTCATGCAACCATCTGATGTTTTTTTCCCGAAAAGAGAGCCCTTAAGCATCTTAAAAATTCATATGTAAAAAATGCTGGCATTTGGCTAATGTTCCATAGATCCCCATAAAAGGAACAAAGGTAATAAGATAGGTCTTTAGGACCATGGGAACTGTTCCTTTATTCCTTTGTGTTAGGAACGTCTCATCAATTTTAGGATATGCTGCTAAAGTGCCGTTATGGGAATTACGGACCTTTGATCGCTCCCTTTTCCTATACATTATAACATAAATTTGAATATACGTTCTCAAGTTCCTTAGTTCTGCATGCGCTAAATACTTTTGGGCTGATTTTCTTTTGCTTATTTGAGTTAAGTCACGTTTCTCCATAAAACAGCAAAATGAAATTCACATGTCTCTTGAAAAGTTTCAACCTATATAAGGCGCTGCAAGTTATAAGCTTGGCCACAAAACTAGAAGATGTCTTCGATGGTAGTACGTTGGAAAGACGTCCCAGGAGCTGCAAAGTTGAAGAAGAGGCTGATGTTAATAGCTAATGTGCACGGAATATTTCAGTGCCCTATTGGTGATTGCGAGCATGAAGGCTTCCGCAGTCAAACAGGTTGCAGAAAGCATGTTACAAATTCGCATCCTTGGTTCTTCTATTTTGACGAATACCCGAAAGATATTATGGATAATAAAGCTGCGCCACAAAACGCATGTGACGAGAAGACCAACGAGTCAAAGGATGGTAGTTCAAATTTCATTCCAGATGACGTCATTTTCAGTGAATCATTTGCCAAATGGATGTGAAGCTCTACTGGTGGTGCTCGCACGAAGGCACACGCAAATCAGATTTGCTCTCCTGTCCTCAAGTTTATTCAGCACTCTCAGGACGATCTTATGCTCGAAGGGAAAGAGGGGCCTAAAATTGACTACTATTTGGCTTCAATGGCATGCTTGTCAGCTTTTTTACAACATTTGGAGGATGAGAAATCTATTGGATTTGCTGGGAGCGTTAGTTACATCAATGCTTTGTCGGAAACAATGGAGTATAGAAAGTTTGAGGGAGTGTCAGCTTCCATTTTATCAAACTTTAGGGTTGCAGAGGTATTTTTGAAACACGCCAGAAGATGTATTGCTCGTAAGATGCGTGTACAGTGGACTGTAGAATT